AATGGCTATTGGCTCATCAGCAGAATTCAGCTCTGCCCCTTAAGCTTTTGTGACATCTTTAGACTCGTGTTCTATATTCTACAGTGAAAGATGGTGGACTTTTTAAAGCAAGGTGGAGTGGAATAAATAGGATCAAACACCCAAATTCAACCTGCTTAGATGAAAAAGACTTTTGTCATAATTAAGGGAATTAGTGGCTCTGTGTGTGTGTGTGTGTGTGAACTTCGAAGGAGTATGTTCTCTGCATGTCTAGACATGTAAAGGGGACGGCAAAATGAAGTGTGGAATTGACAACTGACTGGGAAAACAGGTTTCATCAGGTTCGCTTCTACCCCTGTTCCTTTTTATTGTTGTTCACTGAAAATTCCTGTCTCTGAGCACACGTAGAAGCCTCATTTACGTGGGAGAAGAAAACTCGATTTATAAAAAATTAAATCATTAGAGTTTGTTTCTCAAGGTTTCTGGATGGCCAAATCAAAATGAACCCCAATCTGGGGCTATCAAAGACATTATTTTGTGATTCTAAAAAAATCTTTCCTTTCTACAGCTTCTCAATAAGAATTCTTTCTAAACTTATTTTAAAGCTCAACTTTTCATTTTTAAAAGATTAGTGGAAGAACTGATTATGGAGAAGTCACTGAGGAAACAATGGGTGGTGTCAGGAAGAGGGTGACCCACAGAGCAGAAAGGGGTGTGAGTCTAGGAAGGCACAGACCAAAGGTGTCTACAGGGCTGCACAATATTCTTGGTGTCCCTAGATCAGAAGGTGGGTGAGCGGAAGCCTACGGAATTCTCTTGATGAATATTCAGGCATCTAGATTCCTGCAGAGTGGAGACATGCACCTCATGTGACGCCTGCTCTCACAGCTGCCTCCCTTTTCCCTGAGTTTCACATGCCACCTTCACTGGGAGTTGCAAACTCCAGGTTGGTGACCATTGTTTTCTATTTCCAGGAGCATGGGGCTGTATCAAGTGTTGGGCACAAAGATATTTGATTGATTGATGTTATGCTACTTGGTTATGATCTGGCTACAATTTGAGAGAGATAATGCTCAGAGTTTCAGACTGATGCTAATTATCAGACCATATTTGAGAATCCTACAGAGAGTCTGGCAGATCAGTTTGACTCAGTAGCCTCTGATATCTTTTGGAAAGCACATGCCTAAACCATATAAGACAAACAGTCTTGAATTATATGCAGATAGATAGGGATGTTTAGTTTAAAAAAAAACAAACCTGAAAGTAGAAATGGAAACCAATGGTAATCTTATTCTATTATTATATTTTCTCTCTTGGAGCTTCATTTCTCCTTCAGAAGAAAGGTGGTGTTTTTAATCTGAGCACATCCCCTCCTCCTCCTACCCAGGTCCTAGTTTTTGAGAGACTTGGACATTCTGAGAGTAAATGGAGGGGTCTTGGCTTAAGAGGTCGTTTCCCAAGAAAACTCCACCCAAATCTAAGTTTTGGTCTAGTTTCTAAATCCTATGCCCTGTCCTTTCCCTGTCATCTGTAGAGAGAGAATAGGACACTAGGTAAAAGAAATGACGTAAGCCAATTGTTCAGCTTGTCAGGTCTCAACCCAATGGCCAACGGCTTTCATAGATGAGGAAATGTTTAAGTATTATGTGACCAACTTTGATGCTATTTTTGGTCCACAACTCTTCAAAATCATGAGAATACAATACAATAATTAGTGTCAGTGGAAAAGAGCTACAGACTCAGTATCATCCACAATAGGAGGCAGGTGTCTGTCATGTGTTACTGGAGATGTTCAAGGTCCCCTCTATAAGAGGCTACATATGGTGACTCAATCAATTGCTGCTGCTGCTGCTTCTCTTCCTTCTTCTTCCTCCTTAAGAGGGCAGAATGGAGGTTGAACCCAGGGCCTCACGCACAGTAGAAAAGCACTCAACCACTAACTTGTGTTCCCAGCCCTTTTGACTTTCTATTTTCAGACAAAATCTTACTAAGTTGCCCAGGCTGGTCTTGAACTTGTGATCCTCTTGCCTCTGCATTCCCAGTAGGTGGGATTACAGATGTGCACCACTGCACCTGGCTTAATTACTTCTTTAATGACTTTTTCTTTTCCCCAGAAATATCTATCCGGCTGTTGGTTAGTTTAGAATGAACCCACTACCAGGGTTCCCATTTACTGCTGTACTTGAAATCTTGAGTACTCCTTTCCATGTTCTCTAGACTTGTACATTCTTTACAAGGGAAGACTATTTCCCCATTCTCCATGAAAACTATATGTCCCTAGACTGGTTCAAATCCAGTGGCTTCAAAGCAGCCACATGTACATTTAATAAGGGAGATTTCTAGGAGTTTCAACTCCAGCTCAGGCATCCGAATGGCCTGGAGAGTTTTTTTTTTCCCAGAATGCAGATACTGGGGTCCTAACTTAGGAACTTCTAATTCAATGGCTTGGAGGTAGTTCTGGTATTTGTATATTAAGAAAGCTCTATATTTGATGTTAAAATATACTGAGATTGAGAGATTGCAAGTTAAAGATATGGCATAGAGGCAAGGAGAAGGAATGCAGAAGAGAAAGAAAGGTTGTGGGGAGAAGAAATAGCCACAGAAAGGTCAAAGCAATTAGAGAAGTTGTCTGACAGCAGGAGCATTGGGCTGGGAGGTGCCTCCATCATGAATAATCAAGTAGGGACTCTGCTTCAGCTTCAGGGGTGTGTGTGTTTGTGTACAGATACACACACATAATATGGCAACTTTGTAAAGGTGCTGGGAAAATCAGAGCGAGGCATGTCCCATGAGCCCGGGGATCATTCTTTCACCTCGAACACTTTTTCCATTCCCAGCCTGAGCTCTATCACACACACCCCAGGGGAGAAAGCACAACACAGCTGCCGAAAATTGGTAGTTGCGGTTGTGTGCCTCTTCCTATTCCCCTCTCTGGCTGTCACTGTGACAGTATTTCTTTGGGTCACATCTGGTTGGTGGGGTATCAATGACTTGTGATGGGGGAGAGGGAAGATCACGAAAATACGTCAGGGCCATCAGCCAAGTAAATTATACCTATTCCCCCCACCCAGCACCCACCCACCCCCTGCCACCCTGTCCTCAATTTGGTGCCATGAGAGGCTTTTCCATAGCAACTGAAGGCATGGGTTTGAAGCTCATGGGAGGAGGCGCCAAAGCCCACGCAGTCATATAGTCCACGGCCCATATGTGGAAATTCCCTATGTGCAGGAGGATCTTTCATCCCTGGGTTGCCCGAGGGACTCACCCAGGGTAGAAGGACCGGTTAGAGCCACTTGGGAATTTGATCTGCTTTGCTAAGTATAATAAATTTGCCTAAGTGTAATAAGTTCAAATTCTTTATCTTCCAAATCATACAAACCCAAGTTCTCATTGAACATCAGCCTGAAAAATATTTTCCGGGTTTAATTTTAGTTTGAAGCAGAGGCAATACCACCACTGTCTTCTGTTCAAAGTATCACAAAGCAACCACTTTGCCATGGTACATTCTCCTTCTGTGCACCATTATTCAGTTTAGAATTTAGTCTGTTTTTTAGACAACTGGATCATATTTATGACTGAATCTTCACTACCTAGGAGCATCGCTGGCATGTAAGGACATTCAATAAATGTTTGCTGGGAACAAGGGACTCAGGCAAGTTTCCAGTAGTCATTGACAGAGAGGTACAAATTTCATAGCAACACTGGGCTTTGGCATGTTGACTATAATGTAAAAACTCAGGAAGAGAGGTTTTGAATCAATAGGACACGGTGCTTATAAAAAAAAAACTTTAGAAGATATGATACTGTGCATCACATCTCTGTACTGTTATACAACTCTTCCTTCTGATTCTGTAAGAAGTCAACACCTCTCTTGGCATTATTTCCTTTCTATCTGGCAGCTCTGCTGATGGGGAAGGCATTTGCTTCCCTCTCACTCTTCCCTGCTTTAGTTTGTAGACACTGTTCCCTACGCAGCCTCTTAGATTGTTTTCACGATGGCCAAATAGATTTGACTATTTGCGAAACTCTGGGAGAGATGATATTTTCAAGACTGGCAACCGCTTTATTCGCCCAAAATTCTGGAGAACAACACTGGATCCTGGCAAATCATTTCTCATGCTGAAGTAGGAGACACTACAAAGAATATATTTTCTGGAGGTTTTACAAATAATGGACTTGACTCTGCCAGAATGGAGACAGCTCAAATACAGTGTATGTATTTGCTGATTGGATAGACTATATACAAATCTGGCACTTCAAGGGCTTGAACGTTGGCAAAGTAGTGACAGCTGCTGGATAATAAGAGGAGCATATTTAAAGTAAAAGAAAATATATTATGGATTGGTTGGCACTCAAGAAGTGGGATTTCTAAATATGCAGCACACAACCAGTAGAGTGCTCTGTTAACTGTGAAAACAGTGACAGTTTATTTTTCTAATGAACTATCCTAACATGTTAAGGTAAGACTAATGAGAAATAATGCTACTAATGAGAAATAATGCCATAATGCTACCCAATTCAGTAGAAATGGCTTCTTTATAGGATTTCTTTTTTGGAAGATCAGGGCCGATTTTTCTCCTAAAGAGAAAAAAGGGCCGTCATTTTCTCCATAAGAATTCGTCATTGTGCCCTGTTGCTCTCTTTTAGAGAAGGAGGGGGGAAAAAGAATAATAGAAGAAGGGACTCCACAATGGGAAGAGGAATTAGACAGAATCTCTGTGCCAGGCATGGCCAGCTCATTCACAGAGCATCCACTACACATCAGTGTTCTACAATACAACTAGATAAACTAAAGATGGTGTTTCTCTAAGGCTGATGGGCAGGGAGAGGAGACTATTTAGATTGGCATTTCATGCTTCATTTCTCAGGTAAGACCTGGAAGAACTCAAGGATACTCATCAACCATTCCCTCAAGATGAGTGCATGACCCTAGTATCACAGGGAGGAGAGAAAGGGAGATGTGGAGATCAGGCCCACACCTCTGTACTCCCTGCCCTGAGTGCCCACTTCCAGGTACATACCCAATACAGCACGTCTGTCCAGCCCTCCATGGTGATGCACTGGAACACTGTCAACATGGCGAAGGCGAAATTGTCGAAGTTGGTGATGCCATGCTTGGGACCATCCCACCCGGGCTTGCACACAGTGCCATTCTGACACTGCCGCCCATGGCCTGTCTCCAAAGCACAGGGGGAAGGATCCTCTTCTGCTGGAACATCTCCAAGGTCAGGGGAAAAGAGTGAAGGGAGGGAAAGAAGTGGGCAGAGAAAGAAGCAAAGGCATTAGAGAGAAAAGTGAAAGGACAAGGTTGAGGGGATAACCACTGGATCATGCAGAACCAGTCTGAATGAGCCCCCTGCCTCATATATGAATCAAACATAAAGATCTAGGTATTCATTTGAGTCTGCCACCAACTTAGAAGGTCAGTACTTTCAACTAAGTGTTGGAAAAACGGTATTTTAACCTTGGCAATTGATTTCAAGGATAGTAGGACTATTGCCCATTCTGTTGTAATGACTTGGCATCATAGTCAAGTGGCAGACAAAAAGGTAATGATGATGCAACCATTTGAAGTGGAAATTGTTCTGAAAAATGACAGAACGTCTTTCTCCTTCCCCCTCTCCCTTCCTTCCTTCCAAGTCAAGGCTAGAAGGTTCCTTCACATGGTGAGTTAACGGATCCCAGCCAGTAATGCTTTGTGATTACACTAGTCCATTTCATATGACATGGTGCATCACCAGGATTCAAGTTACTTCAGCGGGAAGCCTGCTGAGGACGGACGAAACGTGGGCTGATGGTAGGGGGGAGGCACCCACTGCTGACTGTGTCTTGTGCATGTCAGGTGGGACATTGCAGTGCTGTCCTTTGCTCTCCAGCATTAACACCTTTCAGAAGAGGTGAATCATTTCCTGACCCCTAATAAAGACAGAGTGGTGGTGGGTGACAGGATGAAGACTTCTTAGGGGGCTGGGGATGTGGCTCAAGCGGTAGCGTGCTCGCCTGGTATGCATGCGGCCCGGGTTCGATCCTCAGCACCACATACAAACAAAGATGTTGTGTCTGCCGAGAACTAAAAAATAAATATTAAAAAGAAATTCTCTCTCTCTCTCTCTAAAAAAAAAAAAAAAAAAGACTTCCTAGGTGTGGACAGGACTTTTCCAGGACAAAATATGACATGTCATCTGTGGAGAAAGAGTGCTGGGAAGAGCTACTAGCAAATTCATGAGTTAAGATGCAATTTATAATTTCAGTGTGCAAATCACTGGTAACTTTAAGACTTGATGGGTCTAAATTACAGTAAAATACTAAGGTAGCCTTGACCCCTGTGAAAGGTGAGAGTGGGAAATTCCCAGCAGTTTGTGGAATCAAGGCTCTTGTACCTGTGGAAAGTGATGACAATGTCAAAGAGAAGCGACCTCAGTTCTTACAAAGAATTCACAGCAGTGAAAATACAACCACAGAGAGAAAATTTGCTTGTAGTTCTTCATTTAGAGACAAGAGGTCACCCAGGATCTTTTCTTTTTTTGTAAGGATCAAAACAATGGCAAGCGTGATTAATTTGCCTGTGGGACACAGGCTCTGCTTGGAAGATGATTGGTTGGCTCGCTATTTCTGTTTGTGGCTTCTAATTTGAAACTGTTCACTTTCAAGAGGAAGTCAGAAATAGTAATCCTTCAGGAATAATTCTTAGGAGAATGGAGTTGAGTGTGATGGTTGAAAATATATGTCTGGTGTCTCCCTGGTGGCTGTCCTGGGTGCTCGGTTTCCTCTTCCTTCTCCCAGTCCTCACCTCTTCTACGCCACGCACAACCACACAGAGCTTTACTGAAGTATAATTTACATGCCTTGGAATTCATCAATGTAAATGTACATCACAATTATTTTTAGTGCATCTTCATGATTTTGCAACCAACACCACAATCCATTTTAACAGCTCCATCACCCCTCCCCAGTGCGCTGTCACAGTCAGGCCTTGCCTGACCCCAGCCTCTAACAACCTCATCTGCTTTCTGTCTCCAAAGCTTTGTGTCTTCTCGAAATTTCACATAAATAAAACCATACATTATGTGGCTTTTTGTGCTCCTCTTTTTCGCTCAGCATCATATTTTTGGGTTCGTCCCTCTCGTTGCCTCGTTCAGTGTAGTATGTTCCTCTTTATTGCTGAGCAGTGTGTTTTACTGTACGTTGATCCATTCACCAGTTGGCGGACATTTGGATTCATTCTAGGTTTGGGCCATTCTGAGTAATGCTGCTTCCTGGCTTATTTGTGGCCTGGTGCCCAAACTTACATGTGGGTCCTTTGTTCAATGACCAAGGTGATGGGTCTGCAATAAGGATCTCTGAGCTGTTTGAGATCGGCATCCACACCATTCCCTTATTCCAGGGTCTGGCTCCCAGGAGGGCTCCAAATATTAAGGGAGCTGAACTGAACTCCCCTTTAGCTACAATTTTTTTTGTATGAATTTTGATACTGTGAAATCTTTATAGAGATTGGGGCAGGAGAGAAACTAAAAAGTGAATCCCAAACCTAAATAATACATTAAAAATAGCAGAGCACCTAAAAAAATTCAGAGTTGAGAGACTGGAAGACCAAGAACCAAACATATCATAAATTCTGTTTGGTTCTCACTCATTCTAGAAATAGCTTTCTAGAATGATGTGTTCAGTCACGTGGTAAAGTGCTGGAATGATATGAGAGATGGGACCAAAAAAAAAAAAAAAAAGAGGGTGAAAAAAATAAAGGGAAAACCTGCATCTCTTTTTCCTCTGTTTTGCTTTTTTGGGGCGTGAAGATGCTGTTGATCTTCACATTGTGACGGCTGATCTGACAGCTTTCCCTGTAACCTCCCTTCCTAAAACAGCAGAAATAAGGCAAAAGGGGAGGCTGCCAAAGCGAGCTCCGAGTGTCCTCAAGGAAGGAAAACATGTTTGGGGATTTTTACAGATACATGTTACAAAGAAAATGGCATCAAGGGAGAGTGATCTCATTAATAAAAGAGAAAGGGATGAGACTCAGAAATATTATCATCCACAGGCTCAAGTGCCTCTCCGCTATTTTAAAGCTGTCTTGAACAACAATAAAAAAGATTGGAGAACAATTAAGAAGCAATGATGATCCGGTAAAAATAGGAATTTATAAAAAGCACTAAAGGGAACACTCGAAAAATGTGAACACACATAAATCAGCAGGTCCTGCAACATGTACTCCAGGGTGAGGGGAAAGGAGCTTAAATGGGAAACGTGTTGCAAAAGTGGGAACATGAGTGGGGGGAGGGGGATGCGGACAAAGCAAGTCCAGCTCTATGTTTCAAAACAAATGAAGAAAGGCAAGGTCATTCTAGAAACTCCAAATTAAGTGTTTTGTTTTTTTTTAAATAATGGAGGCAAGGACTAGGAGAAATTTTAGAAATGCAGGTAACACCAACAAGAACTGAAATCCTAGGAGAGCTCCAGTTAAGGGTTCCATGGAGAATTCACCAAAGACAAAAACAATTACTTTTTTTGAGGTCCTGACTTTACGGAGTGAATAGAATGAAGGTGATTTCATTGCTAGGTTTTAGCCAACCAATTCTGTTGCCAGTCCCGGGGGTAATTACTGTGCTTGGGAGAGCTATTCAGAGTGACCTGGCTCTGAGAACCATCAGACAGATGGAACAACCAGAAACAAAAGGTATTGGCATATGGGGCTGTATCTGTTGAGGAACCAAGAAGGCGCCTTGCAGATGCCGCAGGGATTAGGGGAAAACTGCCTCTTCTGAGACCATCTCCACTGGGGGCTGTCCACGGACAGGCAGCCAAGAGGCAGAACAGTGGTTCACCTGGATGGCTCCAGATCTCTCTTGTATGGATTTCATAGCTCAAAGTACAAAGCATTCTAAAATCTAGAACTACATAAATTTCACAGTCTGTGAAATAATATCAAAGTGTAAAAAGAAGGATTTGATGGAAATTCCATTAAAAATTAGAACAAGGATTCACATAGAACTTTTGTAAAATCTAAATATACAGAAAATATGGCAACTCAATTGAAAGTCCAAAATAAAAAGTGGAGGTGGGGTGGGAAAGACCACTAGTTCTAAAGGTTTTCAAAACTCTCCAAAACCCATTCGGATTGGTTTCAAAGATTGCAAGTTTAAGGTCTTCTACTCCATGGCTGTGTTGAGTATGTCCAGATTTCTGTATCATTTTTTTCCTCCTCAATGGGATTAGTTGCTGTCTGAGGCCCTAACAGCAGCGGTATCATGTCCTGTTGGGAGCAATGAAGTGGGTCCCTGGAGTGTCATCAGATGGCAAGTATTGGAAGGAGGAGGTGGGTGAGATGACTGCAGAGAATGTGGAAGAACAGGCTTCTGCAGCTGAGTGCCCTTGACCCCTTTCCCAGCAGGGAGTCTGGCTCCACACAGAGGAGTGAGGTCACCTTCTGGTGGAGCCCCACGTGGTGCCTCTCCTTCGAGGACTTCTCTTGTTGTCCTGCACTGGCCCATGTTCACACAATGGAAGCCCACTTCTCTTCTGAACTTGATAAAACCTACCCACATGAATAATCTGATGAGTCTTATGGTAGGAAGCAGGAAACTTCTCAGGTGCTTTATCTGGTTCTGTTTACTATCAAGAACAATATGATCTTAAATTGGCCAGTCCAATTGGTAAAGCCAGGTCTGTCTTCATCTTAAGACCACAGGAAGCCATTAATGCTTTCAGCACTTCAGGTGGCCTTTTCAGTGGACCCTGTGGCTGTGTCCTAGGGGAGAGGTGCCCATCCTGTGTGTTCTTTGTCTGTAATACCCACCATTTTCTTGTTTTTGCTGCTGGGGCCTGATAACAAAGCCTGATGGCTTCCAACCATAATTCAGGCTGCCGATTCTAAGAGGCCCTTGCAAGATCCTTGCCACCAGTAGAAAACATGCTTTTGCAATTTTCCCATTAGGATGACAGAAATGATGGGCAGATTTTGGAGCAGTTCTTCTTGGCTTACTGGTGAACAGACATTTGATGGCATGGCATCGTTACCATCTTGGGCTCTTTGGCAGAATTTCGCCATTCACGTTTCCCCATTTCATTTGGTGAAAGCCCCACTGCTAGTCACTGCCAAACTGATGAGGAGTCTTTGAGACTCCACATCTCTGTGACTGCCTGAGGAGTTTGGGTCAAACAGGTCATGGATCATTTCAATACAATCAGCTCTTAAGGAGGTTGAGAATGGAGCTCTAACAAAGCCACACCATTAATATAAATTTATTGGTTCAGGGCTAGCTATAGATTAAGCTGAATAAAAGGAAAAATTAGAATTAAAGGGGAAATATTATTCATTATGCTTTGTATTTCTCTAAGCAAGGCTGAAAGTCTCAGAATTTTAGCTAGAGGCAAGAGAGGCAAGAGCTGTCTTTTTTCCAATTTTAAAAAATTACATATTTTAAATCATGATAATTTATTTTACACAATGATGACCCAAGTAATTTGGAAATTATCTCAGGAGTGAATAGCCTCCTCTTAAACAGATTCTCCATTAAAAAAGTACAAGCAATTGAGTGATTATGTGACTGTAGATTTATAGTAGGGTTTTTGTTTGTTTGTTTTAGGGGGGCACTGTGACCATGTGATAATGACCTAGGTCATTGCAAATATCCATCCAATCGAACCAGATCATTCATGCCAAGTAACCTATCTTGGATTCTGAATCATGATTTATCCATTTCACTGTTGGTTGTATATATGCTATCCAACCTCACTCCCCAATGCAAGAGAGGCAAAATTTAATTTAATGCCTGGGCTAAAAGGGAATGAGAAGCAGCTTAGGTACAGAGGAAGGAGGTATCCCTTAATAATCCAGACAGATGCCCTCCTCTCTCCACCAAGATGCCAAACACTAAGATGACATATCTTATTACTTGAAAAAAGTCATATCAACTTAGTACTGCTCACCACTTTGGGGTGGGGAATATTTTTTTCAACAAGGTCTTTGTGTTAAACTGCTTTATATGTCTGTTTAAAGCCTTGTCAATTTCTGTTTAAATATTGTTTAAAAGGTCAAGCTGAGATGTTAGAAATGTAAGATAGAAGTTTGTAGCATATCCCATGAGCCAAAACTTTGGTGCCACTCAGGGAAGTGCTTAATGAACCAGCATTGCTTGTTAAATATATTTGATTTATGGAAGGAATACAAAGAGAGGAGTCTCTGGAAGGAAAGGATTGATAGCCAAGAGGTAGAGCTAAACTTCCTCCTTGAGGAATAGAAATTTGGCTGCTGGTAAGGGAGTGTGATTCTATGCCTGCCCTCTCATTCACCCTGGTGTGGGGCTCAGGGGCTTTTGCCCATAAAAGGAGAAGGAAACATTAATTGCAGAAAAGCCAGGATCAGCCCGGAAAGGGTGAAAAGACCTCAGGGCTGTGAAGGGTGAGTGTGTTGGCTGAGGGTGTTACTGGCTTCCAAGAAAGGCCTTTGATGAGGAGTCACACTGACATGCAGATGCAGCAGAGACACAGAGGTTAATACTGATTCTTAAATTATTCAGAATCAGCTTCAAAAGTGAAAAATTGACCAATGCTAAGTTCTTAAGTCTGTGTTTCTCAAATTGAATAGTCATTCAAACATGTGCTGGACAAAGCTTGCATTTGGCTGTTTTAACAGATCTCTTTCAGTGAAAACAGAAATTGAACATAAGAGGAAAAGAATAAGGAGCACTGCTTCTCTCTTAGCATGGCTGGGACATGGGCCTTTGAATGAAGGAACCTCCGGCAGCTTGGCTCGACAGGTGACAGCAGTGCTTCCAACCACACAGTAAACAGCTAAGAGAAAACCAACAGCCTCTTAGGAACCTGTCACCTGGCACCCTGCTCTTACCTGCTATGCCCTCCTGGTTATAGCACGTCTTATGCATCTTCCCCATGAAGAGCTCCAGGCCGATGATGGCATAGATGATGATGACAAACAGCACGAGCAGGGCAATGTGCAGCAAGGGCACCATGGCCTTGATGATGGAGTTCAGGACCACCTGCAGACCTGTAACGGCAGGATCATCCACTGTGACAACCCTGAGTGTGCCGGCCTCCACTGACGGAGCCTGGTGCTCCCTCGGATGCCACACAGGCAAGATCTCACGCAATCTTCTTAGCAGCTTGGAGAGTGGGGTATCGTGAGCCCTATTTTTTTTTAGATGAGGAAACAGAGGCTCAAGGTCATATAGTCAATGAGCCACAGAATGAGGATCTAAATCCAGGTTGGCCTAACTCCAAATGTGTCTTGGAGGCATGTCCAAATAAAAGGACTGGCAGAGGCTGTACCTCCAAGGGGAAGAACACATTATTTTCATCCATAACTATCAAATCTGCTATATCCCATCTTAGAGACAACCTAGCACCTTTCTCTCTCAGAGCAGAGTTCAGTACAGTGAGGACTCACTTTGGCCATGAAGGACTTATTTATCTCTCAAGGTTTCTTCATGATGGGATTACCAGAGCCTATGGGTGACCCATCTGCTATAAACCACAGATCAGCCTGGTTGACAGGTATCCAGGAGGGTAGGACTTCCATTGCTGAAAGTGACTCACCACCAGGGTACATCGGGATGGTGAGACCTCTGAGACAGGACTGGGGAAACAGCTTGGAAGGTACCTTCTCTGAACTGAGTGAGTTGACAAACCACTCTCCACTAGGATATCCTAACAGGCTGAGTTCTCAGAGGGAGCCAGCAGAACATTATACTTTCCTTTCGAATGACCAACAGAAAGGACTTCTTATTTAGAAAGGCATAGAGTTTTAGTTTGGGAGAATAAAAAAAAAAAGTTCTGGAAATGGTTGAAAATGGTGGTTGCACAACAGTGTGAACAGATTTAGTGCCACTGAACCTGTACAATTAAAAATAGTTAAGATGGTAAACTTTGTTATTACTTACTACCATAGTTTAAAAAAAAATCTAAAAACTATCCAGAATCCGGGAGAGTGGGAAACACACAAAAAACCCCATGGAACATCTGGGTCTTATCAGTGTCCTCAAGGTCTGTAGGTTTGTTCTTTGGTCTAGGGGGAAGGAGGACCCCCTTACTTACAGGCTTGATCATTTGTAGTGCTAATCATTTAAAGGGGGTGCTGCAAGCTTCATTTGCCAATGGTGGGGAGGTGGTTACCAGGAGGTCACCCCAGATTACACCCAAACATAGTCACTCAAGAGCTTTGTGCCCACAGCAACTGCACCAAATCTTCAAGACCCAAGGAGAAGGGTGGAGAAGGCAGCTTCCCCTTCCTTCCATAGGCCAGTTGTACAGAAAGTCACCTTGTGAGTCTCCTCTGACACACGTACAAGAGTATGCACACCTCTGAATCCCAAACAGGAGTCACTTTAGTGTCCTTACCTCCCCAGTGTTCTCTCATGCCAGCTGTGGAGGTATTACTCCACTTCTCAGGGTCTGGCGATTCCACCCACTGCCCTCTTCACTGGGTAAACCAAGTCTGTGTCACCCTCCCTCCGACCCTGAGGCAGTCACTAGTGCTTTGAGCTCTGGTGGAGTGGTTTTCTCAAAGCTAATTAGAAGAATTCTCCCTAGCTATTAAGCCAAGCCGGGGAGAGGGGAAAAAAATAAAAAGAGAAAAGCTGGAATAATTTTACCTGTGAATTAATGAGAGTGCTTTGCAGCCTCCCATTAGAACAAGATGTTTTCGGATCCAAATGATTCCATTAATTAGCAAGTTGTACACACATTAGTGTTAAAGTATGCGAAGCCATGAAGAAAGTTGAGCTGCAAAGCAACTTTGAGAGGTGGCTGCTGGGGGTAGAGACTTCTAAACGCTACTCACAGCAGGGGGAGGGAAACCCCCACATCCTGAAGCCCAGGCCACGAGGGAAGTGTTTTATCTGGACTTCAGTGCTATTATGGATTGGATCTCGAATGTCCCCCAAAGGCTTGGTCCGCAGTGCAACAATATTCAGAGGTGGGGCCCTTGTGAAGTGATTGGATCATGAGGGGTCTGACCTCATCAGTAGCTGATGGCTTTATTAGGAGGTGGTGGAAACACTAGGAGATGGAATTTAGTTGGAGGAAGTGGGTCACTGGGGGTGTCTCCTGGAAGGGTATATCTTGTCCTTGGCCTCTCTGCTTCTCTGCTCCTGGCTGCCATGAGGTGAATAGCTTTGCTCCACTACACCTGCCCCCACCATGATGCTGTCCCTCACCAAAAGCCCACAACAATGGAGCCAACTGACCATGGACTGAAACTGAGCAAAAATAAACCTTTCCCCCTTTTAAATCATTTATCTCATGCATTTTTTGTGACAGAAATTGATCAACACACGTGCTAAGCCTGAAAGGGCAAGAAATGGTAGGCAAAGTAGTAGACAAAGTCGCCGTGGGCAAGGAGGTCCCCTCCAGGCTGCAGCCAGAGGCTTTGGTCCAATGGCCACCTCAGGCTTCTGAAATCTCTAATGTCTTCCTTTGCTCTTAGGATGAAGATCAGGGTTCTCTTGTGCCCCCACAAGGTCCTATAGGGCCTGGCCCCACCCACCTCCCCACCCACCTTTCTACATTCCTAGTCCCTGCTCCTCTCTCTGGGTTCCAGTAAAACAGCGTTGATTTTTGTTTTAGCTGCAAATATGCTCTACAGTCATTTTGTGTCTCTATAGCCACAGAATGATATTTTAGTTAATGATGGGCCTCATATACAATGGTGGTCCCAAAGGATTAAAATGGAGCTGAGAAATTCCTCTTGCCTAGTGACACTGTGGCTGTCATAACATTGTAGCACAAGCCATTACTCATGTGTCTGTGGTGATTGGAGTCACGTAAAGCTAAAGCACATACAATTATGTGCAGTACATAATACCTGATAATGATAAATGGCTACATGTCTGGTTTATGTATGTACTTAACTATACTTTTTATTGTTATTTTAGGGTCTATTCCTATTTATAAAGAAAGTTCACTGTAAATAGTATGCTGTGTGATCCTGGCAGTAGCTGAGAGGCTACATCCACTGACCAACCCGTGCCATCTAGGTTTATGTAAGCGCACTCTAGGACGTTCACATGTAGAAGAAATCGCCTAAGGTCACATTTCTCAGAATGCCACCTCCTGGTGAAGTGATGTCAATGTGTACTCCCTGCACAAGGCCACCACACATGCTGTTCCCTCTGCCTGGGACACCTTGGCCTATTCCTTCTTCTACATCCTTCAGCTCTCAGTCCAACCATCTCCTTCCCCAGGGATCCTTCCTTAAACTCCCAGACCAGATAGGATTTGTTCTGTGTCTTCTTGGACTCATTTCCATTTCTTTGGAGCACTCGCCTTGGTTTGAAATGGTATGTTTATTAAAGTGAATTTAAAACATTTATATCTTATCTCTCACATGAGGCTGAGTTTCGTGAAGATGATGTGCCTGCTCTTCTCATGGTTTTATCATTAAGGTGGCTGGGTGCAGAGCACTCAGTAAATATTTACTGAAGAAGTGACAAAACTTATTCAAATAAACGCTATTGCTACTATGGAGCATGAGTGGGCTTTGCCGCAATGAAGTTCTGCTTTACAGGTTAGTGTAGAGTGGACAGGTGAGTGTTGAGCCTGCAGAGGAGGACAGAGGCTTTGAGCAGCCTTCAAACAGGCCAAATGGGATTCAAAGCAGCTGTGGGCTTCATTACAGCTATCATTGATGCCACCGAGTTCCTACACAGTGTTCCGTTCCTTAAGTCTCCATCTGGGTTGGTGGCTACACCAACTACCTGAGCAACAGGCCAGAAAACAAATTCCTCAGATCCCTCCCTCCAGTCAGTTACCAAATTCTGCGAGTTTGATTTTGTACTATCTTTAGACATGCATAAATTATTTTTTTACTACATAAATAATGCATGCTAATTATATAGAAATAGAAAATACTTACTAAGGAGAAATTAGAAAACACAGTGGGGAAGAAGCAGTCACTCACTGTCCCACCACTGTGAGCCTTTTGGTATATACTTTGGGCCCATGACTCCCTCCCCTTCCCCCCGTATCCTCTTGGTGCTTGTCATTCAGTTAAACAGCCTCCCTATTTTCATGTTTGCCCTGTCTTCATGCTGGAGTTAGAGTGCTTTTCCTAAAAGAAACAATTTGGAAAGTGTCACTTTTGAAAGTGTTCCAGTGATTCCTCATCACCTACAGGTCAAACTCACCTCCTCCTTCCCAGATTTGATCTCCTACCAGTCCCAGTTTCCACCTTACACTCCAGCAATGCGCTCGACCATCTGGAGGTCTCTGGCTTCCAGCCTCCGTACCTTGGTGCATGCTATCCTGCCTGCCTGGAATGCTGTGCCCTGCCTGCCTGAGAGCTCCTTGAGTCTTGTCGTGTCTCCTCATCTCTGATCTCAGGCACACAGCAGGGACCCAATGCACATGAAGCTAAGTCACACCAGTAAACACGGATGCTTTTGGAAGACAGAAACCACAATGATGAAGGAGTTGCAGGCCATGTCATTCCATGATCATTAGAAGAAACTGAAGGTGTTTTGTTAGGAAAAGGTTAAGACTCATGGAAAGGAAGAGGATATCAGCAGAGAGGGTGTTGCCAACAAAATTTTCATATGATTTTAAACTGCTTTATTGAGAAAGGGGTGGTTTCACTGATTTCTCCACAACCACAGAAATGGAACTAGAATCAACTAGAAACTATCCAGGAATGATTTAAATCAACACAAATAAATGCTGTCCAAGAAACAAACCTACCTGAAGGAAGCCTGAGGTAGTGGGTTCCTCATCTTCAGGGGTATTTGTACCCTGACTGGAGAGCTCCTGGGGAAGGGCCATAGTGGGGATTCAGGCATTGGGTAGAGGATGGCTATGGGACAGTGAAGTCCTATAACCTTGTTAGCTTTTGTGTTCTGAAGACTCACCATGGGCAGGTGCAGTTCTTGATGCTCTACTTAGATTGCTCCATTTCTTCTTGGCAACAACTGTATGGTGTAGGTGCTGTTATTAACCACAGTTGAAAGGTGAGAAAAATGAGTCCAGAGAGAAGAAATATCCTGCCCACGGGTCACA